GCAGTGTGAATTATCAAAGACACGATCTGAGAGAATTGCAGATGCCTATGAAATTTTTGGCATGCTAAATATCTGGACCTGTCGGCGATTCCAAATCCTGCTGTGTCCTACAGCCAATGAGAGAGCAAGATACAGGGCAGCAGGAAGTTCGGCGAGGAGTTATATGAAGTGTAGTTTGCGGACCTGACAGAGTTGTCGGCGATTCTATCTATTGTAAAGTCATGCAGTGTGTAACCTCCTGTCGCCGATCCATCGTGCAATGTGAACACAGCCACAACTGATAGTCGTGCAGTGAGAAAACAACGGTGATCCAACGACTTTGAAAATCTTGCAGTGTGAACTCGTCATAAGTGTAATGTGTGTTGAGAAGCATAATGTACGCATGCTGAGAAGTATCACAAACGCGTTGTGAAACTCACATGCGAAGTGACACAGAAGAGGATCCGCCACATTAGGCATGGGCCGGTTACCGGTTTCAAAGTATACCGCTATTTGAAAATTTCACGGTTTCAAAACCGCTAATATTTTCCGTTATACCGTTCCTGCAGTATGCGCTGTTTTTCATGTCTCCTCAAAGACTGAAAGTGTAGGAATCCCTCAGGTTGAGTGCAGTGTAGAGAGTAACACGACCCTCCTCCTCCTGTTGGTGCGAGCGAGCGGTCAGTCACGTGTGTGGAGGACGGCCGAACTTAAGGAGCTGTCCCTGGAACTTACGCAATCAGCAACCAGACGTTTTTTGTCTTATTGCAAGCAACTCGTCTCTGTTCTGGACTTGCACAAACTGCATTGCAATGCAACGCAATTTTCGAAAAATGTAATTTATGTGAAAATATGAAGTCTGTAAACACCCGTTAAAGAGGCCAGAGACGCTGAAGACGCACAGAGAAAAATACTGTAGCAGGCAGATCACTCCCTGTTCATGATGCACAAACTATTGGAAGAAAATCCTCAATATTGATTTGGGGGTTTACATGAATGTGTTTCTGAGGGGAACTGACTGTCTTCAGAAAAGTTTACGTGGTACTTTGTTTTAATCTCGTCTCTGTATGCTTTGTTTTCAGCGGTAAGCAAGGAAACGCCGTATCTGGTGTTCCAGGAGCGCCTCCTGCTGTCAGAGAGTGAATATGCGTCTCATTCAGAGCTTCTGCTGTTTGTTTCGTTCAGGCATGTAGTATAATTTCACAAAGCTAGTCAGAACATTCTGTTTTTGCTTCAAATTGGGTTATTATTAAATCAAATTATGTATATGAAATTATATAACTAAATTATATGAAATTATATCAAATAAATGATATGTATATGAGTTATATAACTAAAATTAAATAACTGTAATTACAGATTTAGGTTAAATAAAGATGTAAGTCTTTATTTTTCTTCTTGTTAGGAAACAAATCAAAGAAATCAGATATCTATTCCTAATATTCTGTATGTTGCTCAAAAACAAAATATATTGTGTTCTGCGGAAAAAGTTTTTTTTTTACCCAGTCATTTAAAAATAACACATTTTAGAGCTGTAACGACAATATCGTGATACAGTGAAACCGTGATATTTTTGCTTAAGGTTATCATACCGCCAAAAATCTCATACCGGCCCATGCCTACTTCACAATGTCCTATACAGTATAAGAATTACTATAAAACAAATAAAAAATTTTTTTGTATTTTTCTTACAAACACCTATTGTTTCACTTAAGATTTTACTCGTCCGCTGAGGTCGTATGGATTATCGTCATGATGACCATGTGTGCTTTTAAGGTGTTAAACATTTGGCCACTCATTCACCCTCATTACATGGACTCACAGAGATGGATTATTGTTAATTCTTTGTTTATCTGAAGAAACAGTCAAATACACCAGGGACGGTATGAGATGCTAACAAGCAACGCTGCAACTTGGTGCATCAATTCAGAATTCAATCCGTGTGTTCGCAGGTGTGCATATTAATTATGAATGTGGGTCATCCAATCACAATGTATTACAAGGGTCATTTTTACATTATATCAGCAGTGTTTCTGTACTAACAGCTGTGGAAAACATCTTAGCTGGAGAATCAAATGAAGTGTAAAAACACAGCAGAGCTGAGACACGCATCTCTCCAGAGAGAAAGGACAGCTCGACACAGCTGAGACTGATGCCTACAGATGTGCTACACACACAAGAGGTTTCCAAGAGCTCACCGAATGACGTCCTTGTGTCCGTTGCGAGCGGCGAGGTGCAGAGGAGTGTTACAGTTTGAGTCTGACCCGTCCTTCCGATCTCCCTCTAACAGAGACGCAACCATATTACTGCTCAACAACAGCTGAGCCACCTACAAAAGAGAAAGAGATCATTGGCGTATTTTGCACCAGTTTTTTTATGGTTAACAAACTCTGAAAAATCGGTATTTCAGTAATTTAAATCAAATAAAACAAATATTAGATTAAATACTAGAAATGATGCCTTGGCAACTAACTGAAATAGGTAATATGCAAAATGACTGAAGCTAAAACTGAAATACAAATGATTTAAAATAAAAAATGAACAAGCATTAGGAAAGCACATAACAAAATGACTCAACCTTAAACTTAAAATAAAAGCTAATTCAACATATGAATAAAATTACTTGATTATTCTGTTACTACCACTATTTTACTTCATTCCTAAAGCACAGGCAAACAAAATGTAAGACAAAACCATTCTTCTGCAAACTGTGGCTTTAAACAGAATATATGGTACACAAGTAAGGTACAAACACTTCTGCTAATGCCATGTCCAGTATTAATGCTAAACTGAACTTAGAGCAAGATTTTTGAATGAAAGTGGAGGGACAGAAAAGAAAAAGGCGGGAAGACGAGAGAGTTGTGAAAACACTCTCACACACACACACACACACACACACACACACACACTCTCCCACACACACAGAGACACACACACACACACACACACACACACACACACACACACACACACACACACACACACACACACACACAGAGACAGAGGGCTCTTGGGAAGGTGAGTGTTGGCTCTCAAAGGCCTCACAGGTGAGGACGAGGTCATACTAATGTGTCCCAGTGACCATTAACACCCAAAAACATCTGGGCCACAAACACCAATGGTGTGTGTCCACTGAAGCACAGTCAGTGGAGCTGAGTAGACGAGTCCTTTCATTTTCTACAGATTGGAAGGCGAGCTTCAGACTTGCACTGGGAATTGTGGATAGTGAGGAGTGCAAACAGAGAGAGCAGCAAAAAGATCAACTTTATGCAAAAAGGAAAAATGGGTAACACTTTACTTGAAGGGGTGTGCATAAGACTGACATGACACCTTCATAATCATGACATGACACATGTCATGAATATGAAGGAGATTTTATGCATGTTTATGACAACTGTCATTAAGTGTCATTCTCTCAGTTATGTCATTTTTAATGCAAATATGACATTATTTGACCTAACCCTACCCCGACCCTTACCCCTAACCATAGCCCATCACAAAGACATCTCAAACAATGTCATCTTTGCATTAAAAATGACATAACTGAGCGAATGACACTTAATGACAGTTGTCATAAACATGCATAAAAAAACCTTCATATTCATGACATGTCATGTCATGATTATGTAGGTGTCATGTCATGATTATGAAGGTGTCATGTCAGTCTTATGCACACGAAACCACAAAACCGATAACCGAAAAATGTTGCGCAGCTGCCAAACGTTGAGAGACGAGCCAAGGTTGTAACACCTGCCACGGTTTCTGATGGTGGACATAAATGTTTTTACAAAACTTTATTTTTTATTTTTTAAATGAATAAGATGAATGAAAACCAGTCAAATGGCCAGCATACATGGACAAATATCATGACGTACTTTGAGCAAAATAATGTATGACTTTACTGTTATTCAAAAATGTGGAAAACAGTAATTACGAGTTATCATCTTTCTATCTATAATCATACACATGATGACTCTATTGACCGTACATTGAATCGATCATAAATCACACTGAAGACAGCCGCACTGCTGTGCATTTTAAAGGCACACCCAAAGCAGGCAGTACTGAGTGGATTTCTTGCGCGTCAGCACACACGCAGGGCGAGAAAGACATTATCCAGTTGCTTCAGCCACACCCCGATACCTCAATACAGCAGCTGATTAAATACCACACATGCACACACTGCCTTTAAAGTAACACCTCGAAAAGGCCTAAATACACAGCTGAAGCGAAATCACACACCACTGGACATGTGTGCGCGAGAACATGTAAAACAAAGCTACTACTGAAATCTGAGCTCTTATTCACCCGGTACATGAATGAATGACACACAAAGACAGACGGGAAAACAAATCACAGTCAGGGCAGAAGGAGAGACGAGGAAAATAATTTTGTGGCATACAGACACGTGTCTCCATGGACTGTGCTTATCTGTATTCTCAAAAAAAAATTGTCAAGAACATGGTCAAATTTCTCCCCAAAATCAAACATTGATATTTTGCCTAAAGAAAAGCCTTTTTAAGCCAATTTACATTTTTTTTGCATTATCAATCAATCAATATATCTATCTATCTATCATATATAAATATATATATAATTAGATTTATTATTTAAACTGTAATTTATATATTATTTGATATATTATTTAAATTATGAAGTATAAGCTGAGGAATATAGTATATTTTGTCAAATTAATTACTTTAAAAAAAATCAATCCCACAGTAAGCAAATTTAATACCATTGACACAATTCAAGCCAGATATGTGATTATTTATGAGTAATTGAATCATTCGAATAATCACGTAATTTTTTTAATGTCCCAAACAAATCAGCTTATAAGCAAGTTTTTTCTTTGGATTTTAAGGTGAAATATGACCTAGACATGTTCTTTTCAGATTTTGTGAGATTCACCCACACATCAGCTGTAATTTATGAGATCACTGTAACCATAGTGACAGTGACGTAACGAATGACATCTCGCATGAAGAATGAGCACAAACACACTAGCACTGAAACACTGATAAGTCCCTACAGAGACGAGCTCACTGACCTTCACTCGGCCGAACTCACAGGCCAGATCCAGAGGAGTCTTCTTAGCCTTATTTAGAATGCACGGGTTCGACTGGTGCTGCAACAACATCTCAGACTGATAAACAGAGAGGGAAAGAATTGAAGAATGATGGTTTTTTTGTACCAATTTATTAGTTCACATGTGACATGAGACAGAAAATAATAATATAATCAGGCAGATTATCTCTGATCCATCACTAATACACACAAAAACTCATCTGGGGTCACTTGTTGATGTTGCAATGCAGATATCATATTTCTTTGCATTTCAGAGAGGTGATGTCAAGTTGATTCACAGGTGCTGTATCCAACAACACTGTTTCTCAAACAGGGATGGACTGGCCAGTTTTCCCGGTGGGCTTTTGGAACCAAATTTATAAACGGAGCAAACATGGAACAGTTTTCAGTAGAAAAATATTGTCAGGCCAGCCCATTTTAGACATAGTGGTAAACTGCTCTGCTCTGTGTGACATGTTTGTTCACAGCAGTCTGTTTTGAAGCATCTGGGTGTGGTCTAATGCAGTGGTTCATATTTTGCACGTCTCCTTTGTCTGACACACCCATTTCAGCTCTTGGAGTCTCTACAATGAGCTTTAGGCTACGTCCACACGAAGCCAGAGCTTTCCCAATGCGATCTTTTTTTTCCCCCTCGTCTCAAGAAATATCTGCGTCCACACGAAACCACAAAACCGACACAAAACGATGTAGTATACATGCCAAACCAGCATGTGGCGCTATAATTCTGCCACAGAGATACACTAAAAACAGAGAAGAAGACTTGGACTATGCGCATAAACCTTGCGCGTGGTATACAAACGAACATGGAAAAATACATTTATTAATCTGTGTTAATGTTAGCTAAAAAAAGACAATCGTTCAGTGTTTGTTCATGTTTTTGTTGCTGTTACGTGATGTAGCGGTGTCTGACTAGGGGCGAGACGTGGGCTGATGACGTTATCGTTTCTGAAAATATACGGATTGGCTGTACACATGAAAACGCAAGGGCTGCACTTTCAGATTTATCCACTCTGGGACAGTTTTTAAAAAAAAATGTCGGTTTCATTCTCCCAAAACGCCGGATCCGTGTGGACGAAATGCCTATACGATAAAAAATGTATGCGTATACAGCTAAACGCATCTCCGTGTGGACGGGGCCTTAGTTGAATCAGGTGTGTTTATTTAAGGAGACATGCAAAATGTGCAGTGTTGGGGGGAAAATGCTTGGGAACTTTTGGTCTAATGGATACGCACCACTTCATAGTGTCCGTACTGGGCAGCCAGATGCAGTGGAATCTGCCCGTCATGAGACGCATTGTTAACGGCGGCCCCTGATCTCAGCAGCATGAGCACTGAATCAGCTTTACCCTGCCATGCAGCGTAATGCAGCGGCCGCATGCCTGCAGAGCAAATCATACTGAATTAAATCTCTGACACACAGTTATGCAAGCTCTGTACAAGACTGGACAAAATTTAAGAATTGGCTCCATTTCAATACATGAGTTAGAATGCAAATTAATGTCATCTAATGTTTGAAGAAATACTTGATATGTTGGGTATTTTAAAACATTTAAATTTATATTATTCTGTGTCCTGTTTGCAACCTCAATTCCAATGCATTTAAATAAAAAAAACGATTAGTAATTTAATTCACTTAAATGGATAGTTCATCCAAAAATTTAAATTCTGTCATCGTTTACTTACCCTTAAAACCTGTGTGAATTACTTTCAGCTGTTGAACATAACTGAACGTAACAAAACAGTTGATAGTAGCCACTGACTACGTTTACATGGACATCAGCAATCTAATTATTTACTTTATTCTAAATAAGACAATATTATGATTAAGGTGTTTACATGAGTTGCTTTTACAATATTTTTCATGTTCCCGTTTTATATCCTATATAGTACATAGATCGATTAATGATACACGTCATTACGTCCCCACGCGACGCCATCCAACGTCCCCTCCAGAATTTCACATATTAACATAGTTCGTCTTCGTTATGATGCCATATACAGTATCGGGTGTTTCATCTTTAATTTTACGAAAGCTTCAAGTGCAGTTAATTATTTGTCATGCTATATGTGCAAACAGACGACGGCGTGGTTGAAGTCATGCTCTTTTGTTTGCCATCAAAATGGTTGACCACAGCCGTGTGTGTATCCTGTCGCAAAATGCGGCGAAAAGTCCTACACGATGGTAATAGTGTGATTAAGGTGTGTACTTGTCTATAATGCACTTCGATAATGCGACTAAAATAGAAATACTCCACATGTCTTAATTCGATTTGTGTTTACTTCGAGTAAGACTTTAGCCAGATTAAGGTAATCAAAAATCTGTTTACACGGTATATTCTTAATCAGAGTATTGTCTTAATGGTGTTAAAATCTGAATATTGTTGTCCATGTAAACGTACTTCTATAGTATGGAAAAAATTCTATGGCAGCCATTGGCTACTGTCAACTGTTTGGTTACCAACATTCTTCAAAATATCATCTTTTGTGTTCAGCAGATGAAAGAAATGATGACAGAATTATCATTTTTGGGTGAACTATCCCTTTAATTGATTTCTGAATGGCCAACAGAACAAACGGCTTAGGTATTCTATCAGGCTGCAGTTATGAGGTCCTGGATTAATATGCAAGTAAATCACAACCAGTTGACATTTTTACTCAATGTAGAGCTGAAGGTAATGAGGAGGCACTTCTAACCATTGCTATCCTTGATGTCCACAACAGCCTGAGCTTCCAACAGCAGAGAGAGCAACTCTGTAGTGCCAGTGAGAGCAGCATGATGCAACGCTGAAAACCTGAGAGGGGGAAAAAACAGAAAACTTTAAAGAGATGGAGAGAAAAGTGGAAAGAGCAACTTTTGACATCTAAAGAACAACACTTTTGGAAAAGATGCAGGCTACAGCCAAATCATAAAGAAGCCACTCAATAACTTTTATCAGCTTATTTTGATACCAGAACACAGTTACACTTTCATTATTCCCCATTTGAGGCCATGTGTGGTCATAAAAAGAATGGAAAAATAAAAACTCCAGTACATGTGAGATTGCCAACAAACCAATATCTTGTAAAAGTGCCTTGTGTTGCTCAAGCTGTGGCACAATTAGAGACTAAAGTCTGAAATTTACAAGGCTTCATGAGGCGAATAAAAAATAAAAAAAAGAAAGAGGGTGATAAGGGGGATATATACAGTATTCATTTCAGTACAAGCTCAGGCAACAAAAAACAGTGTCCTCTGGGCACAGACACCCACACTCGTATGATCTGATGTTTGCAGAAGTATGACAAATGAAAATGCTACTTGTCTGGGGTGGATGTATTTCGTTAGGACATGCCGAAATCAAAGCAAGACCTCTCGCAGGTGAGTAACAGCCCTGTCTTCAAGCACCCCCCTCAAAAGCTTCAGACGTCCCAGATGTAAATCTCCTTCCAGAATCTTGTCTTAGTGAAGTCCTCACTGTCAGCCATTAGTGCAAACATATCACTTTAGAAGGGGAAGCTGTCACTTGAGGCACAAGTGGCCCAATAAAGAATGAGCCAAGCTGCATGTGGTGCTTTTGGAATAAACCGTGCACCAGCGACTGAGTTTACATTCCCCCCTTAGTATCTTTAAATGCCAAGTCACAGCTTGGCAGCCATTACTTAAGCAATGACCATTTCATCAGGGTGCATGAAAGCATCCCGTAAAACTAAGAAAACAACTCTTTGCTCTTATGTATGAGAGGTAAACTCTGCTGCAAAGCCTTGCTATCAGTTGCCTACATTTAGGGTTGCAAAGGGGTAGAACATTTTTGGTAACTTTATGGAAACTTTTCTAAAAAAATAAATAAAATCTAAGAGTTTCCAAAATTTCTGGATTCCCCCCCCCCTAAAATTACCAGACATTTTCCACCTCTTTGCAACCCTCCAATACACTACACCACTTTTGCCCAGATTTTTGGTCTGATTTGCAGTCTGGACAAGTCAATGCTATTAGCCAAAAATCTGATTTCAGACAGAGTTGACAGACTTTATAGAAAATTGTATAGTGTATAGCCACAGTCTCAGATTTTTTTTTTTAGGTTCAGACTATGATTCTATCCAGTCGGAGGAACTTGTTTGATATATTCAGCCAGGCTTTCAGCATTCTACCAGAACCTCGTAAAGGACCATTTTGAAACCCTTTGGAAGTCTCAACTTACTGCAGAGTTTGGTTTTGTTTGCCATTGGGGATGGATGTTCCTTTCAGTGCATTCTGGTTTTGCCTTTTTGCGAAGATTATATGCAATGTTGCTTTAGAAATCGGCCAAAAGGCGGCATCTAAAAAGGCAAAGAAGTCATGCTGCCAGTCTTTGAGAAAATACATTTTGTTCCGTTTTTATGCCTCAAATAGCTACATTGGCAGCTCACAATTTTTTGGAAGTCTCAGGCAAGAATCACATCTTACATTTCTAGATGTCTGCAGTGTCCGTCTGGAAGCTTTGCCTATTTGTGGATTTTAACCCAAAACAAGCCTGACTCATCTTATCAAGAATCATGGAGGAACATCTTATGCGGTTTGTTTTGCAATGCAGGTATTTTGGCTCAGCATTTTTTCAAACAAAAAGCCAAGTCAGAGACTTTTTACTCAAGCCATATGGGGTAAGCCAAAGGAGCCGTTCATTTCCTGAACCCATGGCCTCAGACTGGCCTCTCAGAACTGACTGCTGTGTCTATTAGCTGTGAAATGGGACAACACAGACAAGTAGAGCGGAAACAGATCAGACTTGATAAATATGACAGCTCAAGTTGATTATTTTCATGAACACACAGAGACTCCAGGGCAAACATTTTGCCGACTGAGCTTTTGAAGTGCTGGAACTTTGCAAGGTCTTCCAACCCTCAGACTCACAAGCTGGTGTCAAACTTTCCCATTGTGTTGAATCACGCAGGACACAAAGTTTGCCATGCTTAGCAGAAACGCTCTGATGTAAATCAGCTTGACGTGTAAGTGTCTTCACAGTGGACGTTCTCGACACTCATGAGAAATGGCATGACAGCTGTGAAGGTCTGAAAATGAATAATTCATTCTAAAGTTTAAGTGGAGGATGAAAGGGGGTGGTGTGGCATAGTGGTTACATTTTAGGACTAAAAACCAGAAGTTGGCCGATTTGCTCCAAAGAGACAATCTCTTTACAGAGTTCTATATTAGGAATTTGCATTAAAGTTCCAGAAATAAATTCCACTGGTCTTAGTAGTTTGCCAGTAAAAAGATCCTATTAAAGTAGAATTCATTATACTCAATTACTACACAAAAATCTCCAGAGTCGGAGAACATTCCATGGCACTACAACAAGAGGGCAGGTTAAGGCAAGAAATGGAGACTGCCAGAGGCTCTATGGCACAAAGCCATAGGCATAACATCACTTTTTTTTAACTCTTCAGAATCTAGGACGGCAATGTCAGCCTCACACCTGGGATATTTGTGCTTGAGGAGGGGAAGAGAGTCAGTTCATGCCCTATCTGTGTTATGAGAAGGCCCACACAGGACCCGTGCCCACACAACTCAATTTTCCGCTGAATTGAAACCCCATCATGGGGGTCATTGGATAACAAGCCATTTATTTGATAATGCACTTTTATATCCACAGTACATAGACATCATCCCAATAAGAGTGCATGAAAAGTCTGCATATTCCGTGCGGGTCTGGTTTTGAGGTGTGGGGCTCTTGGGTAGGTGGCACAATCACTGCTCTGTGCTATCTTTCTTTGTAGCTCTACCTGACCTGCTGATGGCCGGACCTGAGAGCCCTGCGTGGGAATGTAGATGCTGATAGAAACCTGTGTTGTGAAAGAGCTCTCTCTCATGTGAACAGAAGACTATACTATTCTCTTCAACACATGCTTCCATCAGCTTTCTAGGAAAAAACTAAAAGAAACTGGGAGCTATGAAGAGAGACAGGTTGTTGTAATAACGGGTCTCCTTATCCCTAAACTGGACCTGAAGTGAACCCCACTTTACCAGGGAACTGGTCACATTACCACCATCATATCCAGAAGCAAATGACATTGATGATTAGGGGGCATATACTAGGGCTGTGCAATTAATTGATTTTAGTTTTCTATCCTTTATGTACACACAAAAAAGTCAAAATGCCTGTTTTAGAGAGTATTCGCATAAACGCAGTCAGTTATGTCTTAAGTGAACATAAACAGTTGGAGAAATAAATTGGATGCGTGTCAGTATATTAGATAGGTCTTAAAGTGACAGCAGCCTAATAAACATTCTGCTGTCTGTGTCCTTAATGTGACTCAAACAACAAAAGAACGAGAGAGAAAAAAAAACAATCACTGCTCTTGACTGAATAGCCTTAGTAGCTAGTAAGAATTATTGTGTTTAATTCTCACAGTGAGGACTTATTTCCAGTAAAATATATTTATATCTCTATCATTAAAAAAAAAATTCTCATATATGATTTTGGTCACTTCTAATCATGTTAAATAATTATGATTATGCTTATCATAATCAAGCAGCATACACACAGGATGCATTGTAGCATCCTTTCTTAAGCTCAAGCTCACATGAAAAATTTGATAAATGGGGAACGAAGGTTTCGAACTTCAAAATGAATGCAAAACCACCAAAAAATGTGTCTCTCTTAAATGTGCCATGGAGAGCTAGTAAATAATAATTTACATTTCAGCCCATTCCTCAAACGTTACCATGGCTTTGAACTGAAATGTAATTAAAGCTAAATTAAATTAAATGGCATATTTAAATCAGCACGATTAGCAATAATTTTGGACATGTGACAGAAAACGAAATGCCATAACAAACAAACATAATATTTTGTGACACGCAGCACTGGCCCAACAGAACAAGTGTGAGTACCGCCATCTGGCCTTGGGCCATCCTTATTGTTATGCCTTGCCTACAATAAACATTTTAGGGAATATGTTAGTACAGGTACACCCTAGGGCTCTTTCTAAACACTGTACACATATTCAGCAACTATTGAATGCCATTATGCCTTAATTACTGTCCTTAATACTTAGAAATGTTCACACATACAATTAAACGTTCAATTAATTGGAATACTATCATGTTCTTCATCAGCTACACAAGTTGGCTGCATTTGGCCATCATACCAGACACAGTTTTGCACCCCAGGAAATATCAAGAGTGGGTCAGACAGTCCAGTGGCTGCCCGCAGTGATATTGAGCAGTTGTTGATTTACCCACAAACACACAATTCGGAAATGTTCCCAGAACTCAGCGAGGGTCTTGTGTTACAAGCCCTGTCCACTTTTGCCTTCATTTCTCGGGATGTCAGAACGGATTTGATGCGTCCTGGCAGCGCTGCCCTGGGTGGACAAAGGACAGGGCTCCAAAGAGTCCCTCTCACACCGGCCTTGCCATTCAGCTATCATGTTCTTCATCAGCTACACAAGTTGGCTGCATTTGGCCATCATACCAGACACAGTTTTGCACCCCAGGAAATATCAAGAGTGGGTCAGACAGTCCAGTGGCTGCCCGCAGTGATATTGAGCAGTTGTTGATTTACCCACAAACACACAATTCGAAATGTTCCCAGAACTCAGCGAGGGTCTTGTGTTACAAGCCCTGTCCACTTTCGCCTTCATTTCTCGGGATGTCAGAACGGATTTGATGCGTCCTGGCAGCGCTGCCCTGGGTGGACAAAGGACAGGGCTCCAAAGAGTCCCTCTCACACCGGCCTTGCCATTCATTCACACACATTCCAGGACGTTTGCCATGGAAACGCCCCCCATACAAATCCCAACAGTTCCCCAGAAAGTCAAAGGCGGCTCAAATACTAAT